ACTTGATAAATCGGACTTATATACAAGCAAATTATTTATTTATATTTCGTTACTTGCTTGACTTTTTTTTTTATCCATGTCGCACTCTGATCGTTCGTATTGTCTGCCGGAGTAACTTGCTGACCCGCCCACAGTGGACATCTGTGAAAAATAGCTTCATAGCTCCTCGGATTCCTCCTCCAGTCTAAATAAAGCTCCCGATTCAGACGTTACTCAACAGTCCAAGTGGCGTCTCGACCTTTGCGCGCGTGGTTCAAGTCCGTCCGGCGCAAATTCCAATTCCAATCGCGCATCTCTCCAAGCTCTCTTTTGGGGGCGTTTTGTTTCCAGTCAGAATTTGTCCCAATTTGTCAGCGTCCATTAGAGCCGAGCGATTTTCCACGATTGCGTTCAAAGAGTAGGGATACAATCACGAGGCATAATCGTTGGATCGGTGGAATCGCGCGCAATTTATGTGCACAGGAAGCGTTTCGGTACCCGCACCCCCCCCCCCCCCCCTGCCGATTGGCATTATTTCGCACGATGATCCCCGTAGGCCTATGGCATGAGGTTCAAGCATGCGAACCCGTCCAGCTGGGCGATAAGCGTGAAAATCTAACATCGACTCCTGCGAGGCCAACCTCAGCGGACAATTTGAGTAGGAATCGCGCTTCCAACGTGACAATCACCGCTCAACTGAATGGGGGGGGGGGGGGGTTCTAACAGGGAATTGCGCCATTTGATGATGTGTGTGCGATGCGATGGATTTATCTTGTGGATCCAGTTTGCCTCGGCTTCGCTTATTTAAGTATCACCGATTCTAGACGGCCAGTAAAGCGATTTAGGCCGCTTCCTATTTGCCATAATCACCGTTGCAATCCATTCCCTATGCCCAGTGTGCGCAATTTGCAATGAGACTATCCTGATTGCTTGCCACAAATGAACCACCAATACCTCGCTGTCCTCGTCAAAGAGCATAAACCTTCACGCAACTCCGCTAATCCTCGGAGCGGCGGCATTTGGATAGCCATCGAACAAAGGCGGCCACCGCATCGCATGCTTTTCAGATGCGCTTCTGCGGCCGTCTGGAACGCTCTTCCTTCCGATATTAGGAAGCCGCTGGAGCTACGCACCTTCAAATCTAGATTGAAAACTCATTTCTTAAGAACTGCTTTGTGCGTTTAGTTTGCTGTCCTTCCCCCGCGCCTCCAATTAGCACGGTTAGCAACCTAAGGTGCGAAATAAGTTCTATGTATGTACGTGCATACTTCCTGAGCCTCTGTACGAAGTGAACGTTAATGGGCTGGACAGGACAGGCTAATAAGCGATCCTGCTTGCGCGATTCACAAAGCAGGCACTTTCCCTGTCAGCTGTTATATTTATTTAAAGGGTGCTATTACTGCTGCTCGATATGCCAAGCAAATCAGGCGGAGTTGGTGGCACGATTAGCTGTGGACCAAGTGAACTGGGTTCGAGTCCCAAACACGGCTAACATCAGTGGCAAGCAGTGTCTAGTCCTCGGGGCCTCCATCACCAACGCGCGGTGAACCATCGTGTCAAAACAACCCTCAATACCGAGGTGTGGAGGGAAGCCTTCATCTAACAGTGAATTCACGGAGACTTGTAAATTAACGCAAGATCACTGGGCTCCATGCACCATCACCCCAGGTTACAACACACAGAGAGATGTATGCATGTTGAACTTATTTCGCGTCGTACGTACCCAACTGAACCGCTCTTTGTTTAGTTTGTTGTCCTTTTCCCCCCGCACCTCCGATTAGTACGGTTGGCTACGTACGGTATGAAAGAAGTTGAACATACATACAATCGGAAATGTAGGGGAAGGACAGCAAACTAAACACAACAAGCAGTTCTAAAGAAATTAGTTTCCAACACAGACTTTTTTTTTTAAATCACATGTCCACGCCTCTGTGGCATTTGTTTCACGTTACGTATTAGTGCATTTCATCGCCATCAACGTTAGTCTGATTTCCCAATGAACAATGGAAATGTTTCCTGCACGGTATCCATTCCGCAGCCTGCCCCCCCCCTCCCCCCCAAGCTCTCAAAGGCTTTCGCGCTTTCCCGACCCACAAGTTGAGAATCGCTGAAATGACTCTTGCATCACAGTTATCAGTTGACTCACTGCTCGGATTTGAAGTCCCAACCGAGCAAGGGCGAGTCAGGCACTTCGCCACATCGGCGCATGTCAAAATGAATGAACTCACCGGTTTGGGGAACCTGACATTCAACACAATATTGTTCCATAACGATGAAGATTTACAGCCGGATGTCATAAGATATTTAACTGTCATTTTTTTTTTACAAACATCTCACCGCGCTCCAGCAGAATCAACGAAAACCCGCGCATGGCAAGTGCTGTTTGTGACTTTCCCAGCTGTAGTGAGCGCGAGTCGAGGCCTGTTCTCAAATTCCCGTTTCCATGAAACGGCCAGTCGTGGAGCAACCTAAACGATCTACCCTCTTCGTCAGTGGGAAGTGCTGTAAGCGAGTGCCGCGGTGGCTAGATGTTAACGACCTCGTTTGGTATACAGGAGGTCGTGGCTTCAATCCCGACCCTGACACCTGCTGTATATTTGGAGTTTGCATTTGTAGTGTTTATAATGACGAATACATTTCTTATGAGGCACACTCTGTTTATTGTAATTCTTCTCTTACACAGTCCTTAACACACAGAGGTGTATATGGTCCCCTCACCCGATACCCTAAGAAGGTACAGCCTCCGGACTTAGCGGGACCTACACACAGGTCTCTTGCTAACCTAAGGAGGTACAGCCTCCTATCTTGGCGGGACTTACTCACACGTCTACCGCTATCCTAGAGTCCTCCGACTGGGACCTAGAGAAGCCTATCTGACCCACCGCTGGCCCGGTGGGTCTTGACCACTGGATACGCCAAGCCTTAGCCCTTAGAAGGGCTGGAAGGCTGGGTCCAGGGTCCTGGCTATCTTCAGCCCGGACTTCGGTCTTCGTGTAGGGAGAGAACTCCCCGCGCTCTGCACGCTCACCCTTCTTATACTCGTTTGTGGCCAGGTGTAACCAATCCCACATCCCCACGTGGAACTGTCTGATTGGTTCTTACCAAACTGTGGCTACGATCCGCTTCACCTCATCTGACCCCAACCGTTATTCACACAGAGGTAACGCTGCACTGCCCCCTTTGATACCTAGTGGCAATGCAGGTTACTGAACAGTGAGTAGTTAGCACCTCTACACATGTATCTCTCCCCGTGGTTGCGTGGATTATTCTCCGGGTCCTCCGGTTTTTTCCTCCACATTTAGAATCAATGTGCATTTAGAATATTTGGCTGCAGTAGATTTCCACATGACGATAAGCCACTTATCGCTATCATGTGGCCAGGTCGCTTCTGAAAAAAAGCTATATAGCTTCGTGGGCCTTCCCTAGTTTATAGAGCGCCTACAAAGGCCAGCACGGTACAAGAACAAGTGCCCTTTTAAAGACGGCCAAAAGCACACACAGCCAGAAGCCGCTACCTGTCATAACCGTAGCATACATTGACCATACAAAATCCATTTAGCTTTAAAGACTGTAGGGGGGTGAGCGAGCACCTTTTAAGGACGGCCTGGCACGTGAAGAGCAAATGTAACCAACACCAGACCTGGATTGTCTCCCGAGTGCCAATGTTCAATCATCATACTGTATGCTCATTTAAAGTCGAGCTAAACTCGGGGAGGCTCAGGCCAAGGTCAGCTATCACTTGCCAATTATGTTCGCCTTGGCTGGGAATCGAATCCAGGGCATTTGGATCATAACACATCTTACATGACTCACAGCGCCAGCACTCTCCGCGCCCCACACACGTGCGCACGCGGAGAAACAAAGCACACGCGTTCGATACCGTAACGCAGCACATGTTCCCAAGCGGATTGAAAAGAATAATGAGAAACGGGTTTGCCATGTGACTAGCAGAGGACTCTGCCAAGGTTCAATTAGGCCCTTTCATCTGCCGACATGTCTTCTGCCCCTGGAGGTTTCTCACAATTAATGGTAACATTAACCGCTCCGATCCGATCCAATGCAACGTCAACCTCAATTGGACGGAAGCGCTGGCGGTAGTACATACATATACGTAAAGATACAGCCCTGCAATATGATGCTTTTGTTACCTCCCCAGCAGAAGGGCATTCACAATATGGAGCTCTAGAGAGGCCTCCTGTGATGGATTATTTGGCCTACTCTTCCACACAGGTCAGACATCTTGAAAAGGATGGCGAGTACTCACACTTTACTCCACCACCACATTACGATAAAGCGAGTACCCACTTTGTTTGGCAATAAACAGCGGTTGTCCTACGGATAGAACAAACCCCGCCAAAAGAATGTGGAATTTCCTTTCCTGGCTCAAGGCTAGAAACAAAGAAATGACCGCGTCAAAGGTTGTATGAGCAGGAAGTCACTTTTTGACTTTGAGCATCGACGAGGGCGGCCGTCGGGAATTGGGGGGGGGGGGGTCGGTCACCAACCACGGCCCTCCCGGGATCAGCACGCCACGGTGGCGAGATGTTATCACCCTCGCCTGGTATGCAGGAGGTCGTGGGTTCGATCCCGACCCAGACGCCTGTTGTATATTTGGAGTTTGCGTGTTCTCTCCGTGGTCACGTGGATTTTTCTCCAGGTCCTCGGGTATTCCCCTCCACATTCAGAAACATGCATTTTAGAGTATATGGCCGCAGTAAATTTCCACGCGATAAGCCAATTCGTTGAGCTGCCATTTGCGGCCAAGGTCCCTTCTGAAAAAGACCTATACAGTTCAGTGGGCCTTACCTGGTAAAATAAAAAAAAAATGGTTTCGTTTAGTTTCGTTTCAGAGCGGTTCCCAGCAAAAAGCGGGGCTGCATTTCAGCGTCATGCAGACTCCTCCGCGCAGCCCAGAGAGAGGGTTGGAGAGGAGGACAGACAGTCTGCACACACAGGCAGACTTGGGCGGGCGGGCGGGCGGGCGAGCGGGTGGGTGCGTGGGCGGCACGCGCCACACTCACATGTGCACGTGCTTGCCGTTGGCGAAGAGCAAGACGTAGTAGGATATGGTCACCTGTGCGAAGAAGTGCAGCGTGTACCTGTGGGAGAACACACGGGGAGGAGGCAGGTGACGAGCATCGTAACGACAGCCACATTAAAAGCGCCCTCAAACAAGATGTTAAGAGGTGGGCCCTCTGGGTAGCAGTTGATGATGGATTACTTGTCTTGCGTCAAACTAAAACCCATATCGAACTGAGTGGGTCCTTGCCTAGGAATATCTGGCAGCTCACCAGCATTGGTCTGAACAAGCCTGACAACTGCTGATGAGACGGTGAATGCTGAAACTGGTCCAGTACGTGCTGATGAGATGTACATATAAAAATCAAGAAAAAAAACAGCCACCTCCTGCAAGTAGTATACGCATAAATGCATTGTCCAAGTCAAAGTGTCTGCCTGCCCAAATAAACGCGGGGGGGGGGGGGGTGCTTATGTCGTACAGGTGGCCCTCAGCCAAGTGTGGAAATTCCTCATTCCCATGCTAGAGGCCAGTCTATCCAGAGAACAGCTGTCCATCGGAGCACTGTTACTTAATCGAGCGGAGTGACTCATGCTGCCAGCTATGGCTGCAAAGTTTGGTCGTACATGTTATGTATATCGTTTATTGTTAAATTTGAATCACAGTTCCTATAATCACTGTTACATTGTTTTTAGAGCTTTATTTTGGTGATATTGGAAAACGTATGGTTAAGCCATGCTTGATTCTTCAAGTACGGAGTTAGCCTGATAATTTTATCTAAATTGTCTCATGGTTGTTATTGTTCGACGTGCATCCCATTGTGATTTTTGCACACAGCGTTGAAAAACGGTGCTTTTTTTCTGGAAGATTTTTACTGTTTTTTTTCTGGATGTTTCTGGTGCAAAACGTCACTTTAAGATGTTCTTTGCTCATGTTTTGTTTGTTACGGTTGCACCCGAGTCAAGAGCCTCATGGCTCACAGGGCTCTACCTCATAAATGAAACTGAAAACTGAAGCAACCTTTGGATTTGAAATCACGATCTCCTCATTTTGAGCCGGGGGAACTCTCACCATAGTACCACCTGGGCAAATTCTGAAACACAGTCTAATCTTGCACATGGCCAACGGGCGTGGTATTTAATTCCCAAATTTTGTCCACCCACCCACCCTCCTCCACCCACCACTCTGCCAAGGACACAGGGCTTGCGGGGATTTGCGCTGCGGAGAGACGTGTGCAATCTGTGCGCGCGCCCACGCACGCACGCCAGCCACCGCCGCTGTCAATGAGACCACGTGGTGCTTAGAGGTCAAATGATGCCGATGGAAAAGAGAGTGGGACGTTACATAAAGAACAAGGAAGGCTCACAGATACAGCCGGCTGGACACATTGCTATTAATAGCCCCACCCCGGCTCACCCTCCCCCCCCACCCCGCTCTACTGCCTGTGTCAGTAGCTGATATCATTGTTTTAAATCGCCTATCGTTGATTGGTGACCTTTACGTCATTAGTTTAACCGGCCAGGTGGCATACTGGTTAGATAGAGTTCACAACTTGCGAGCAATAAGTTAATGAGTTTAGAGTCCGAGACATGGGGGGGGGGGGCGGGGGAGGTTTAGCCCTTCGTCCCTCTGGGGTCAAACTGACGAGTTATGCTCTGTGAGAAATCAAAATCGGGTTGTGTGTTGTTTAGCTGACATGGGAATGTGGAATTTCTGCCAATTAGCTCACAGATGTAAAGAGATAAAAGCTGATAAAAACAAAAAATCCACATTGACATGAAGAGCACAAAAAGAGGCATCCTGTCACTATTGTAAATGTATATATTTGTAAACGACCAGTCGGTGAGTTAAACCACAAAAAAATGTACGCCCCAAGAATAAGCGTCAGATTTAAACAACGTCAAATTGCTCCCCTGTACAAACGAGCATCGTGGCTGAAGCCATCTCTGTTGAAAGTCCTGAGTTCACCGATGGGAATCCCCATTCTCATGGCTAAAGCCAGACTCTCCATGGGAAGACAACTGTTGGGAAGATGGGCAGAGACCACCCGCCAATACGATTTAAACTCACAAACCGGTTGTGAGTCAGGCCCTCTAAACGCAGTGCCGCTCAGCTGGGTAACAACAGAAGAAGCATGGTGGCATTATGAGGCTCGATTAGCAATGCCAAGTGGGTTAGAATTCAATACTGTAATGAAATATACACAGTAATTCACACGTAACCCAGATGCAATGGTCAAAGCATACCACAGCAAGCCTAGCGCACAAGGCAGCGCTGGGCAGGGGGAAGCCTAACAAGGCAGCGCTGTCATCTCATCCCCAACGGCGTACGACAGACTCAGCTGCCTTGTAATGGGCAACAGTGAAATAGCTTACAATGCATGAAGATGACTTGTAAACAAAAAACAACAACTTAAAATGGGGACAGAAGATATAAAAGCTAAAAGGTGCACATTGCTTGCTCAACGCCACTGCTCGCGAAAGGGATTGGCAGACGGAATTCTACAGTGTACTTGGCCTACTCTTCCACGTTTTTGCCAGACATCTTGGAGGCGGTACGAGTACGCACATTTTACCCCATCACACGTGACATCCAACTGCTGTGTACACATTTACACAGCTTTGCTGGGAATGTGTCGACTGCCTCGCCAGGAGATTGAACTGGCGACCATTGGCGGGCCTGAGCCAACCGTGGAAATTGCACATTCCTATGGCAGGATGTGGTTTATTATGCATAGAACAATAACCACTCAATTCGCACAGGCACTCATTTTAAAGCGATTACAAGTGGGGGTCTACCCTCGAACGGGATTTGAAATCACGACCTTCCGATTGCAAGTTGCACCGTTCCAACGACTGCGCTACCAGGCCAGCAGGTATATCCAATTTTCCCTGTGACATTGGCACCAAAGAAGCTTGTGCTCGTGAACAGTCTGCCATTATCTGCCATTATCCGCATGTCAGTGCAGAGAGCGGTTAGTGCGCTGCACCACGAACCCAGCGATCATAGTTCGATTCCTGCTGACGACCAACACCAGTGACGATGATTTGAAACTGGTCTTGGACCTCCCCTAGGTCGACTCAGCCTCAAATGAGTACCTGGTGCGGTGTGTCAACATCGCAACTGCGGAGACAAAGGCGGCCGGGCGTGGTGCTCGCCACCCATCCCCTTGTGTGCCGTGCCGGCCTTCATAGGTGCTAGCTAACAGCACTTACCCCTACAGTTTGTTAAGGCTATATGGGGGGATTTTTTGTCGTTGTATAATCCACACAGGCTGGCAGATGGCGAGCTCGTTTGCTGCTGTTCCTGCAGGGAGATTATACGAAAACAAGCAGAAGCCAAATCAGAGCAAGTTGACCACAAACTGACAAAACACGTAAACCTCACACGTGGCCTGAATAAAACACGGAGTGTCTCACTGCTGCAGCGAGCAGTAAAGAGATGCGCAGGTCTCTTTTGGCACCCTGAAGCCAGTGGAGGGAGTTATGCATTCTAATGCCAGGGGCTAGTCTCTCCACAAGACAATGACTGCTGACCTCCTACAAAGCGTTGCTCTATTTTCCTATCCAAAGGGGATGATGAGCTGAGGCAACCTCTGATTGTAAGTCAAGAGCCCAAGCAGCACCTGGCCAATATAATTTAATGTCAATTTAAACACAAAATTAAGGCAAAGATCCCCCGTAAAGCCTTAACAGAGTGATGGGGCACGAGGGGGTGGGTGGCCAGCCCCATGCCCGGCCGCCTTTGTTTCCCCAGTGGCGATGTTTACACACCGCACCAGGTACTTATTGGAGGTTGAGTCGACCTCGGGGAGACCCAGGACCAGTTCAGATAATCATCACTGGTGTTGGCTGCGAGCGGGAATCGAACTCGGGTCGCTGGGTTCGTAGCGCAGCGCACTAACCACGACACTACGCGTGCACACACGCAATTTTCACCAATTATGTCGCTCTCATGCAATTCGAGTATGGGCAGCGGATTCCCTTCCGCCATAGAACTCGGTACAACAACGAGGCCGCAAGCTTCTCATCACAGCCCAACAGAGGTTTGGCAGTGACGTAAAATTTGCATAAATCTATCTTACGAAAAAACAACGCAGGCTTCTCTTCGATTGTGCAACTGATTGGTGACTGAATGGTCGTTATTTCATTTTTGTCTGACGAATAAAAATGTTACATTACTCACATAATGCCATCAAGAGCTGGCCGAGGATGAATGAAGCACAAAAGACGAAAAAACAAAAGCGGAAGATTTTTCTTTTGCGCAAAATCACCCGAGTCTGACTTGAAACCAGAAACTCAATGCACTTGAGAACTTCAATCAATCTGTCTTCAACAAAAGTCAAAGCAAGAGTGCTCAGGCATGGTGGTGCCGTGTGGCCACACCGCCAGACCCACAATTAGATACCAAAAAAAAAAATCACTTACTGGGAAGTCCCTGTCGTGGGAATGTGGAATTTCCACAGCTGGCTCTGGTCTGTAAATAGAAGGGGAGTGCTGCTCCCTGCTCAATTGCGTAGGAACCACACGAACTTATTTGTTTACGTCTCGCAACTGAAAACAGTGGTAAACAATTTCTCAGATGAATGACTGGAGTTAGAACCTATGACATCGACGGTCAATGAATTAATACTTTATACAATCAGACACCCATCCACCACCCTTAGCAAGCAACACTACGATTCACGTCTCCCCACACTGGCAATTGGGGGTCACATGATGCATTTTTTTCTCAAATTTTTACCGTATTGCTTCCCGTTTCTAAGTGGCGTTGCTAGTTTGGCCTAAATGAACATAGGATCCTCATTGGCCTGAAGGTAACACTGACATATAATTTGCATAAATCGTAGACAATCGACACACACACGAGTCAAAGCACGCATCACAAGCCCAACCATCGATTTGATTCGACGAATCAATGCATTGTTCAGGTAGGCGACTTCCCCACTCAAGGCTATTTCTGATGCCAATAATACCGTGAATGGATCAAGGAAATACAAATACTGGAATCGGGTCAAGGTTGGGTGAGCGCCGAGACACCGTCTCCCAAAGACGCTCGCGGGAGGTGCGAACAAACGACACC